TCAGTGGCCCTAATCCTCTTCCGTACATTTCAACTTTAGAGTATTGTACTTAATTAAATAAATAAGTCAGAGTTTCGACCCACCTGGAAGCTTATTGGTTGTTTGCTTCTCTGCTCTCCCTCTCATTGGTCGGAGGGGGTGTCACTCATGAAAATTGACGTTTGAGACAAGTTTACAACTCTCTGCACGTGCAGCTGGTGAATCAGGAGCATCATGCATCCACACAGTGAGGCGGACAGTAACCTGAGGGCTTATTAACTTTAACACCTGGGTTTATTTCACCTTTACCTGACTGACATCTTTAAAACTTATATGTTTTTTGTGTTGTTTATGTTTATGTTTCACATCACAGCTCATATATTAGATTATTTTCCTACTTTTCTTCATGGCAAGTGGACTGGGAGATGATCGCTTAGTATGGCTGAGGCTCCTTCACCGGAGCCGGGATGGCTTTTAGCCGCATCCGCAAACTGGACGCCCCTTCCCGAGGCATCCTCCCCAGGAAAGCGGTGGTCATGCTCTGCTCCCTCCTCGCTCCTCTCCTCCTCCTGCACCTCCTCTCCTCCGCGCGCTGCTCCTCGCCGCTCAGAGGCTCCCTGCGAACCAAGCGGCTGACGCGCGAGCGGAGCGCCGCCGGACCGGAGCCGGACGGCCACCGGATTGCGGATGAGTCTCCCGCTTTGCCCCCGGATCTGGTGGTTAATCCGAGGTTCGCAGGGAAGGTCAGTCCGCTCGGGGAGGGCAGCAAGAAGCTCCCCCAGGCTCTCATCATCGGGGTGAAGAAAGGAGGGACCCGGGCTCTGCTGGAGTTTCTGCGGGTTCATCCGGACATCAGGGCGGTGGGAGCGGAGCCGCACTTCTTTGACCGCAACTATGACAACGGCCTGGAGTGGTACAGGTAAATATTTACTAATAAAACCATAATATGCACAAGCAGATAAGCTGGAATAAATTCTACATAAACTATTTCGGGACATATTGATTAAAACATACAAATCTGTTTTTTTATGCTATTATTTTGCAAGTAAATCTTAAAATTAAGGCATGAATGACATTATTTGGGGTAATGAGTGCTCCTAATTTAAAAAGAAACGGTTAATTTGATTTTATTTATTTATTTTTCATGCAACACCAAATTATTTTTCATTTGCAGACAGGAATAAAAACGTAAAGTCATCTTAAATTGCAACAAAACATTGTAAATAGAAGAAAGATTCATGCTTTTAAAGAGCTGCTAAGGACATTAATGACATTAATGGGGTAATCAGTGCTCTTAATTTAAAGAGAAACAGTTAATTTGATTTAATTAATTTATTTTTCATGTAACATCAAGATGATGTTTCATTTGCAGGCAGGAATAAAAATGTAAAGTTCACTTAAATTGTAGCAAAACATTGTAAAATCAACCTGGATAAAGGTTGTAGAAGGCAGATTCATGCCTTTAAAGCTGCTTAAAACCATAAGAAGTCATTTAAGGTTGCAATTTCCAATACTTTAAATTTTTGTTTTTCCCCAAATGAAGTATTGTTATTTAAAAAATGTTAAAAATGAAACTTTAGATTTCATTTAAGTGACCTAAAACATGATCAATTTGTATAATTTCAGCAGCGCATTACTGGAATAATCCAAATTAGAGTTAATTTAACTAAAAAACTTTAATCTGACCGTGATCAGATTCAGTTCGCTGACATGCTAAGCTAATATAAGCCTGTATCTTCTTTATTGTGATATGACTCTTTGATTACTCTTTTCCTATCTATCATGTCTGCATCTATAGAAGCTCAGCCATATTAATGTTTCTTAGATGTTCTGGTATGTTATACTGTGTTCAGTTCCCCTCCTTAAAATGTGGATTAGGTCTGGGCCAGCTTACCGTCGGGTCAGGATCTTTGAAAATCTTTGAGAAGAGCTGATTTAGGCTGTTCTGACTCATTAAATTGCCACAGTGATAGATCGTGTTTTTCTTGTGTTTTATTTGGCCTCTCATCCATCACTGATAAAGGCACGTCACAGTCCACAAATCTTTATTTTGAATCTCAACTCTCAGAAGTAGCCTAATTGCCGCTGAAATCAGCAAGGCCTGTTGATTTATTGAAGCTACGTTTGGTCTGGTTTTATTAGATGTTATCAGGCGTCTCATTATGTTTCACATTTGAGGCTTGACCGCCTTTGGCGTCTTCAGCCAAATCCAGTTGGAACAAAGTTTGAAGCCTGTTTTGGAATAAAAGACAACAAATGTCTGAAAATCAGGAGCTTAAAATTTGAGATAATTTCTGGCTCATATCTTCTCTGCAGAGTTTATGAGGAAATTTAAACCACAGTTCGTTTTAAACCAGCAGAAAAAACAAAGAGATCTTAAATGATGGTTGTATTAAATTAAACATTCTGTTAAACTACAAGCAACTTTAATATACAACGTTCTCTGCCTTTTTTTAAAGCAGAAACATTTATAGCTTTAAATTAG